ACATATATATATATTCCTAATTATTTCTCCTAAACTTGCTACCTTCCCAACTTTATTCCACTGCCAAATTCCAGGTATCTCTCTCTCTCTCTCTCTCTCTCTCTCTCTCTCCTGTTCTCTGTCTGTTTTTTGGGGGTAAATTCTCTCTCTTTCTCTCTGTCTTTGACTCTCTCTCAGTACTTCTCTCTGTGTGGTCCTATTTTCAAACCCATTTCTTTATGATTTAAGTTGTTCTGCGTATTCCCTATGATTTGAGTTTTCAGGTCACGCCATTGCTGTGATGCCAACTGTCCTTGATTTGGTCTCTGGTCATTTCATTTTAAGTTTCATTCATGAATTGGGTTTCTGGTTTTGTATTGACTTTTCATCAAAATTCAGGTTGGAACCTTATTGGCTTAGATTCTGGCTTGTTGGACAAATTTAGAGTTTGAATGTTGATGGGTGTCTGGTTTTTCAACTTGTGTTTCCGTGGAGATTTAGGTATTTTGCAGTTTTGTGTTGATTCTGCTGTGGGCTTGAATTTAACTCTTTGCGATTTTTGTTCCTGAATAATGGTTTGGGTTGGATTTTGTTTGTTAGGGCACATAGTTGCTTTGATGGGCTTCTGGTTTGGGTATTTTGTTGGGTTTTATTAGTGGTTCAATTCCCTTGTATTTGTTCTCAATAATTGATATGGGTTTGATTTTATTTATTTATTGGTAAGAAAGTGAAGTCTCTGTGTGGTTAATCGCTATCCTCTCTCTTCCCCTCTGTTTTTGGGGTGTATTTTCTTGGGGTTTTGATCTCTCTCTGTTTCATGGGTTTTTTTGCTTTCCATTTGAAGCTCTTTTTCATTTTATTTGTTCTATGATGATCTCTAGATTTTTGAGTTTATCATTTTTGTTTCCCTCTCTCTTTCTCTACCTGATTATTTTATTTATTAATTGGTAATCTTCTTTCTGAATCAGAGTGATAAATTTTCTTAACAACGTAAATTTCACTTGCTGAAAATTGGGGTGACGTTAGGGGGAATAATGACCCACAACAGTATCTACAGTAGCTTGAATGGTGCTGATTTTCATCTGCCCGATGAGATTCTTTCGGTCATTCCAACTGACCCATATGATCAGCTCGATTTGGCTAGGAAGATCACATCAATGGCCATTGCCTCGCGCGTCTCAAAGCTTGAATCAGAGGCAGGGAGGCTGAAGCAAAAGCTTGCTGAAAAAGATCGGATGGTTTTCGAACTTCAGGAGAAGCTTGCACAAATGGACCAGATTCTGCAGGAGAGTAATACACGCTTGCGGACTGCCCTTGACGAAAATGTATGTATGCATTTTTTTTTTCTTTTAAACTGAAAGCTCGTGTGAATTCATGGTTCTTAGTTGCTTGTTCTAACTTCTGGCCCGCCCGTTAGGAACAATTGCTCACACACAAGGTTGTCAGTATGATAATATAGTGAGAGGAAACCATTTATAGCTATTGTTCACCCAAAAAACAGCAAAAATTAATAGTTATGCCTAAATTGGTGAACTATTATTTTCCATCGCCATGGAATAAGAATATGTAAAGGTCCTGTACCATTAATAGCCTTCAAGGAATTCCATTGTTACTATCTTTGTGTTTTATTTATTTATTCTCTTGTTTCTGTTTTGAATACGTAATTTTGCAGCAATTGTAATAGTTTTTTGTGATTTTTTCAAGTGGAGATTTGAGTCCACTAGTAGTAGTGATATTGTTGAATTCATATAAACTACTTGTCTTATGTGCACTGTCCCTTGAGCTTCAGCTTAGCGGTAGACATATTGGTTTTGGTGAGGGAGTTCAGAATTCATATAAACTACTTGTCTTATGTGCACTATCCCTTGAGCTTCAGCTTAGTGGTAGACATATTGGTTTTGGTGAGGGAGTTCAATGCCTGGAACCCTTGATGTTTGTCCCGAAACGCTCAAACAAGCTACCTAGCCCTTTTTTTACTGGTTATATAATACATATGTATTCACTTATCATGTACGCACATGAAATTCATTTCATATATTCATTTTTTTCCCTCTTTTCTCTGTATGGTAATACATGCACAATTACTAATTAAACTGTGTTTTGCAAGGAAAATTTAAAATGCCCAAGGGCCTGTGCTGAACTTCTCTTTTTCTGATGATTACAAATTTGACACTGTGATCTTTACTCATTTTATTACATTTCGAGTTCATATTTCCCACCCCAATCATTTTGGGCTGCACGTGATATAGGGTTTCATGGAAAAGTTGTTGATCTGATATAGCTTAACTCTCCCTCTTTCTCTTCTCATTTTCTTATGGTGGGTGGAGTAAGGGTTATGGGGTCTGAAGTGTAAATGGCGTATGTATAGCCTCTTATGGTACACTATATTCTTACTAATATGCCTTAATACTTGTGGGTTTCAGTAGTCTTCTAAAAACATCGTTGGACTCTGTCTTTGCATATTACTCGATTGATGATGTTCATTGAAGATGTTCTGAGTAATATTAACATTGGGGTCTGTCCAATGTGTAGGATGTTATCTGAATCTCTTTGTTTAACCATTGATTTGTTGTTCACTGGCATGGCAATTTGTGCTAAATAAATGTTTATAGTTAATTCCTTAAGTTTTAATTTTATTTTGTTGTTTGATTTTCATGTGGGAGTTATACTTTTGAAATTAGAAACTGAACTGGTTTATACAACTGTATTCCTAATTCTTGCAGATCAAACTTTCCAACGAGAGGGACACTCTCACCTTGACCACGAAAAAATTGAATAGGGATCTGGCAAAGGTGAGCATCTTCTTGAAAGTAAATGGACCAGCTCTTCTTTATTATAACACTTCTTAGATGCTTTTTATGCTTAGATGGGCTTGTTTCGGGTCACAGGTGATCTTTGTGTTCTCCGTGTTTGTTCTTCTCCTATTTTTTTGAAGTTATTGTCCTTTTGTGGTTCACATGGTCTTGGGTGTTCAAGCCTAAATTACTTATCATTGTTGTTTCCAACATGTTATTCTAGCATTTACTTTTATGTGGGGTTTTTGATCAAGTAGAGATAGGTTATATCTTGTTTCCAATAAATTTATCTGATTATTTCCATTATATAGCTTCTAGATGTGATTTTTTTTTTCTTTCTTTGAACTCTGTAACAATCCTTTGTTCTGTAGATATTTTGGAAGAAATTTTTTCGAGTTCAATGTTTGTCTTTGTCATGAGTTTATTGGTTGAGTTTTTATGCTTTTGTTTATCAGGCGTTCTAATGCTTATGTTTTCCAAAAGCTGGCCGACATACTTTATGAAATGCACCAAAATTTTCAGGTGTGATTTTGGATCTCTTAAGGTACGTAGTACCAAGTGGGAACATAAATGTTGAGCAGAGTGGGGTGTGAAGGAGATGGACGCTAATGTTTAAAAATGTGGAACAGGCCTTGGATCCTGGTGAGGCTCTAGCCTGAGTCTGCTGGTTTGACATGGCCGAATTATACCAAGACTTTGTTGAAGACTTCAAAAAATAACAAAAAAAAGGGCCAGAAAAGGTGAGGGTTGGGAGTCCCGAGCTACCTCGGGACTCTCCTGGGTGCCAAACCCTAAGTCAGTCTGGCAGGTTTTCAAGCATTCATTGAAGCAAATGCTTCTTTCAAATAATGATTGCACTCGTAGGTGTACATTCGGTTATTAGGGTGAATAGAAACCTAAAAAGTTGTACTATCTCGAGACTCTGGCGGTGGCTGCCACTGGATAATACTATACTTAAATCAGGTAATGCCAAGAAGGAGTGCAATGTGGATATTGAAACTTCTCTTGAAGGATGAGGTAAATGATTTAATGTTCAGATTGGGCGAGGACCGAATTTTGACGTTCATCTTCGTCTGTTCTTCCAATCCAGTCATTCGTAGAGTCGAGAAAAGGAAACGGTATATCGAATTGGTTGAAGTGACAATTAACACTTCTTTGTAAGGAATGCATTTTTTTTGTGAACTATGTCATTTTCCCAAATGTTTGGAATATTTAGTTCTGAACTGTTTTTATGGATTGAAAGTCATGAACCTCATTAATGAGAATGAGGAAGATCTGTTATAAGAGTTATAAAAGCTTGTTGATGACGAACTTTCTTTGATCTGAGTGATGAGAATCTTACAAATTACAGTTCCCTTTTGGGATTAAGCTGAAAATATCAATGGATGATGAGGGTTAATGAAGAATTGAAGAACCTGTAAAAAACATCCAGTGATGAGTTGATGGATATAGTGATACAACTGAGTGGGACACTTAAGGTATACATAAAACTAACAGTGTCATGCAAATTGGCTTTGAGCTCCTACGTACAACAATTTACTGATCTAATTTGGAGGGTTTTTCGTTGAAGGCTTAACCAGATATTGTACAGCATAAATAAGAGGGCACGTGTGTGTGTGGCAAATTTATATAGGTATTTAAGAATGCACGTAAATCCTTTCCGTCAGGAGCACGAAAGTGACCTTCATTTGGTAATTTGGTAAGTAAAATGCATAGATATTTCATTTTTTATAATCTAAAGGGACATGAAGAAATGTGCTGATTTGTGCATGAAGATTTACTGGTGAAGTGGCTATTGTTAAATTGTTTTATGATATCACAGTCACACAACCTTGTTTACATAAAAGTTGTTCGTTGGAGATATTTAAGTTTTTGTCATCTAAATGGATATGGAGGCGTGATGATTTTGTGCATGAAGATCTCAATGCTACAGTGGCACTTGCAATATTCTTTTTGGTTTCTCACAGCCTTTGGTGACATGAATGTTATATGTGTTTTTAGTTTGTTGTATATCCTGCTGGTGATTGCTGCTAGGAAACTTTGTGCAAGATCTATGTCTGATGGGATTGGGGTGATAGGCATCATGTTTGACAAGTCACTTTTGTCATCTGGATAATGACTTTAATGATCATCTGTGTTATATAGGAGCTTTTAATGTGCTCGATAATAATGTGAGCAAGGCGGTAGTACCCTGTAGTCCATTACATCTTGCTCCTGGCATGGTATAGGAATACTTGATATCCTTGTAAACTAAACTCCCTTTATATCATAGATGCCAGCTTATGTCAACTGATAGTATTGTGATTTATTGAACTTTGACCATACATATTAGTTTGGCGATCATGTATCTCTTTTGCCATACCTTACAAGATCAAATTTTGTACTAGTTTTGGGTCAATGAATTATCCAAAAATCAAAATCTGGCTCACGGTGCGGTGAAGTTCAGTTGATTCATGGATACATTAGCTTAGATGGAATCTCTCTGCTCTAGTTTCATCTCCCTCCTGTAACTTGGTCTCATGAATTAAGGAATGGGGCACATATTGGTAACATTCGTTGTAAGTTTGTTATTTGATGCATTTGTGTGCGCGTGCGCATGTGCATGTATGCACTAAAGCATGCATGCACAACACCCACTAGTAGGAAGCCCATGTAATGCACTCACTTAATTTGAGAATTATTTTAAATTTTCTCACTACTAGTTTGCCCTCCAAAAGAATTCTCATATTTATCTTATCAAATCATTCAAAACTCCATTTATTTAATATGAATATTTGATTTAGAAAGATGTCACTGTGGAGGGGAGCTCCCGCATCTGCCTTGCTTTTCATTAGGAAGCAAATCTGCTCTCTAACATCTTCCTCACTCTCCCATTCGAGAAAACCTCTTAGTTACCTACCATCAATCTAGGAGTTTCATTATTTACTGTCCTATTGAAGTAGGATATTCAGACTTCAGAGCTCAGGTCTCCAGTTTAAGAAATTGTGGGTTGTGGTATTTTTCCTCGTCGCCTAACAAAACATGGCTAATGTTCTAACAATTCTTGGTTGTCCATGGCTGTTATTGCATTACTTTTATGCTTAACTTTATATGCTACACATGGATTGACAAACTTGTTATCTCTACAGTTGGAGACCTTCAAACGGCAGCTTATGCAGTCTCTGAGTGATGATAGTACATCAGTAAGATCGTTAATCTAGAATTCGAATTTCATATATTGCTTGCTATTAGAATGTCCTTTGGATTCTCTCTTTCTCTCTCACCTGCGCAGCACTCCCCAGATTTTTAGTACTCAATAAAGACCAATAAGAACCTCCAAGAAGGGGAAAAATAGAATGGTATTTTAGAAGAAAAAGAAAAATGCAGGGGCTGTACTGCACATTTAACATTTATGGGATTATGTGTATGTAGAACCTCGTTGCGCTGAAGTAATGTACTTCCAATAGCTCTTAGTTGGTGCCTTTTTTATGTGTTTCTTTAGCAAGCAGAAACTGTTGATATTGGGACGTGTGATCAGTCAGTTGCCAAATCATCTGTTGCCACTTCTGTAAAGGGTATGTCATCCTGGTTGTATACCTCCAACCTTTTCTTGTTACTATAATAGTGAGGACTAATGCATGGTTTCTTTATTTTGTGTGTATCCTGTGAACTTTATTTCAATGTAATGTTTTGTATTTCACGCCTATCTTTGACACAATAGATGAGGAGTCGGACAGTTACAGTTCGACAATGCAACTCCAGAGGGTTCCTTCAACAGATATGGGCAATTCCGTTCAAGATGGTATGATAAAAAAAATGTTATTGTCATTTTTTTTTTTCAAGCCTCATGAGTAGTAGACTCCGTATTATGTCTGTTAGAATCGGGAAACAAAATTCCGTTGGATTGATGAGTATTTGATGCTATGATGAACAGTGGACAGTGTGCGACCTGCCATTGGGGTTGTGTCCTTTTCTGGTGCTTCCCACATGCACTTTCTATCACTTTCCATCATTTCAGTCAGACTTGACTCCAATAGACAAATGGTTTCCATAGTCCATTAGATCACATCATGCTTTATCCATATAAGTAGCATCCATTCTTTGCTTTTTGTAGTCTTCGATTTTGATATGGGTTCTAACTTTAATATTCTGTGCTTGTTTTGTGGGTTTGTGTCGCAGCATCACGGCAATTGGGGCAAAGGTTTTCTATAACACCATACATAACACCACGGCTTACTCCAACTGGAACCCCTAAAGTGGTATCGACAGGAGCTTCCCCCCGAGCTTTATCAGGTGCTGGCTCTCCAAAAGTAGCATCTGGCTCAACTTCACCAACAAAATCCCACTATGAAGGGAGGTCAAACTTCTCATCTTGGTACCCACCAAGTCAGCAATCCTCTGCCCCGAGCTCTCCCCCTTCTGGACGTGCTATTCCAGGTATTTAATGCATATTATGAAAACCCCTCCCTCCCCCCCGCACTACATGGAAGGTATACTATACACATACTGTGTATAGTATACCACACAAATGGGTGTACCATCATCTGACATTGACTACTAACGATGGAGATGAATCACTGTTTTGACAATGGGATATGGGCAAATGGCGGACATTCATGGGATGCTTGATTTATCTTCGTTCTGTTGTTGGGGATGGTCAGTTGATGGCTGCCTGTGTTTGTATACTTTTGGCTACTTTCATTTGTTATTATGATGGTATTTTACCCCCATTTAAGGGTAATCTAGTAGTGCTTCTAAATTATGTCTCCTATGATTAATTAACTTAGATGCTCGTATTTATGTAACTATGAATTTCTTCAATGTATTTGTTCTAAGCTTTAGTTCTTTTGTAACTTCCCCCAAAAAAAAAAAATAACGGAAGAAACCTTAAGTTTTCTTGCCAATTATATATTGATTGATTAAAAGAGTCCTGACAATAACAACATATTGAGCACGGATTCTATAGAATTATAAAATTTGACATTTTCTTTTCTTTCATTCATCTTTTGGCTTTTTGTTAGCCATTTCTTTGTAGTTTCCATATACTGAGTTTTGATTGTGCAACTAATGACATCTTTGCGTGCTGGTGTCATCCTAATTTCCTTTCTCGTGTTAAGCTTGTAGGTCCCTTCCATTTGAATAGAATTTGTTTACTTTTCTTTTTAATCTAATGAATCCTTTGTAGCCCGCACTCCTCGCATTGATGGGAAGGAGTTCTTTCGTCAAGCCAGGTTCGTTTCTTAAACTATTTTTTAAACTCTCTCTCCATCATGGCAATGACATCTAGCAAGCCTTCTAAAATTGTTCAGTAGCTGATTTTTTTTCCGTTATTCAGGAGTCGTCTATCTTATGAACAGTTCAGTGCATTTTTGGCCAACATCAAGGAGCTCAATGCCCATAGGCAAGGCCGAGAGGTAATAGCACCCTTGCCACCAGAGATTTTGTCATCATCATTCAGGTGCATAATTATAATCCAATGGCATATGGAAAGTGTACCCCAGTAGGCCCATCAATGTCCCATGAAGTGCCGGATGGTGGAGATATAGTGGGATTCACCGTAGGGATCATGTCTTCTTTCGATGGGTTTTACAGTCTGGCATCTATTTAATTGGACAGTGATAACCCAACTGCACAAATGTCCATGTTACATAGATTATTATTGTTATTATGAAAATTTATCAATATGCACACGAAAGATCAATGGTTTAACATTTTACCCATATCTTGATTTAATTTCGAAGTAACCATCAAAATACAAATGGCCATGAGTTGGAATTGTTGGAAAGGGGCAAATTATTAAATTCTTGAGTGGTTAGGTGCATTTTGATGAATAACCCTTATTATTATTATTATTGTTATTATTATTATTATTATTATTATTGTTTGTACTATTGGTACGATTGAGTATTAATGGAAATTGGGGTTTGAGCCTGAAACCATAAAGTCTAGATCAAGAACTCCATTTGACTACCCAATACTGGCATACTGAATATATCTGGGTTGAATGCTTTATACTCGATGCAGGAAACTCTGAAGAAAGCGGAAGAAATATTCGGCCAAGATAACAAAGATCTTTACTTGTCCTTCCAAGGGCTCCTCAATCGAAGCGCATCATAGGTTTTATCTTCATACATGTGAAACAAATTCATCATATTAGGTAAGGCACCTACCCTGTATTTCTACCTTTTTCTCATGTAGTAGTGTCGATTGGGGTGGGAATTTATTCGGACCCAACCCGGTCCCAGTTTGGGCATGGGTCCAAGATTTGGACCTGGTTAGTTGGGATTGGTTGTCTTAAAATATTATATAATATTTTTTCTATATAAATTTATAAAGGCTAATATAGTAATATATACATACTGTTTTATCTTCTTCTTTCGACACTCTTCTTTTTATAGCAGTCGTGGGAGGCAAGGCACACAGGGGATAGG